TGTGATGTATTTTATGAATGAAAACTTACAGGCATTGGTGTTCCTGTGCATCGACTGCCTTGATCCTTCAAGGTGATAGAGGTCACAGCTTTGGAAGGTGCTGTCAATGGAGATTTCTATGTGGCACCTATTGTGGTTACTGGGTGTCAGTGGTGGAGGGAGTGAACAGTAAAGATGGTGGATGCATTGTCAATCAAATAGGCTGCTTTGCTTTCCTTCTTGAGTGTTGTTGGAGCTGTATCTATCCAGACAAGTGAAGAGTATTCCAACAAACTTCTGACTTACACCTTACAGATGATGGACAGGCATTATGGAGTCAGGAGGTGAGTAACTCACTGCAGAATTTAGGGATAGTAGGAACTGCCGAGGCTGGAGTCTGAGATAGCAAGGTGTGGAGCTGGAGGAACACAGCAGGCCAGGCAGCATCAGAGGAGCAGGAAAGCTGACATTTCGGGTCGGGTCTCTGAAGAAGGGTCCCAACCTGAAACGTCAGCTTTCCTGCTCCTCTGATGCTGCCTGGCCTGCTGTGTTCCTCCAGCTCCACACCTTGCTATCTCACAACAGAATTTGTAGACTTTGACCCGCCCTTGAAATCCACATGGACAATTGCAAAGGTATGAGGTGGCACCTGGAGACAGAAAATATACAATTGACCCCCAAGCATCTAATCAGCATTGGCTGCAGTAAGCCCCCTGCTCCTGCTCAAGCTCTAGAGAACAAACTCAAAACAAGTTCCTTTTTTTTATTTATCCTTTCATGGGATGTCGATCCCCAATTGCCCTTAAACTGAGTGTTTGTTCAACAATTTCTCAGGGCAGTTAAGAGCCAACCACATTGCAGTGGGTCTAGAGTCACATGTAGGGCAGACCAGGGAAGGATGGCAGATTTTCTTTCCTAAACAGCAGTGAACAAGATGAGTTTTGAAGGCAATCGATGATAGGCCTCCTGATCACCAGGACTGAGCCTTGCTTAATCTTTTAGATTATATTCACTGAATTTAAATTCAATTATTTTAAATTCCATCAATTTCTATTGATGGGATTGAACCCATGCCTCCAGATGGTGAATGTAGGGCTCTACTGGCATTATGATTAACTAACCTACTGACATTATGATTTTAACACCATCCTTTAGGGATTTCGAAAACAAGTCACCTCTCTGCAGACTTTTTTTCAATTCATTCACAGGATGTGATTGTTGCTGGGTAGACCAGTATTTATGGCTCATTCCTAACTGAGTCAACCATAGACCAGGTAAGGATGGCAGTTTCCATCCCTAAAGAACTTACTGAACCAGATGGGTTTTGCCTGACAAGTAGGAATGGATTCATGGTCATCGTTGTACTCTTAATTCCAGAGCTTTCTTTTAAGTGAATTCAAACTCCACATCTGCTGTAGCAGGATTAGAACCTGGGTCTCCAGGACATTAAGAGATAACAAGGTGTAGAGCTGGATGAACACAGCAGGCCAAGCAGCATCAGAGGAGCAGGAAGGCTGACGTTTCGGGCCTAGACCCTTATTCAGAAATGATTTGTGGAGATCTGGAACACAAAAACAGAAATTGCTGGAGAAACTCAGCAGGTCTAGCTGTATCTGTGGAGAGAAAATTGAGATAATGTTTCGAGCCCGGTGACCCTTCTTCAGAGTTGCTTTCTGTGTTTTTGTGAACCATTTACACCTTGTTTTCCTGGGTCAGCTTATTTGCAAAACCTCAGGCACAGATTTGGACTGGATCTTGAGAGGTGCCCTGTAGCAGAGGAGAAAATCTCTGTACAGACAGATTGGAAAGAGTTGGAATCAATTAATGGGGAAGTGTTACAAAACGGTGAAGGGCCTGTGGCTCTGGGCTTTCAGGTGGCTGGATGTCAGAATGATCAGCCTGGTTCAGCAGGGATGGATTTATGATTTCACCTCCTTTGCATCATCAATTGTGGATGCCAATAGGTGCTGAGGGTCAGACCTACCTTGGGCCAGCGAACTAAAGGAGAAGAAGTGCAACCTGGCAGTAGAAATTCTCACATTCTCCGAGGGGTCTCACCAACCATCCATTATCAATGAAAGGCTGAGAAGATTTATGGAGGAAGCAGGTAGGGAGGGGATGTGGTATAGACCTGATGCTGAAGACAAGTGACAGAGCCACTCAGTATCTGATCTCATCACCTTATTGATGGATGAAGTGATTGAAATCTTCAGAAACAAATAGCTGGGGGGTGCGGGAGGGATTGAGAATGGGGGAGAATTCAACTGAATGAAGTTAACATCAAACTGGGTGCAGAAAGAGAGGGAAAGAAAGATTGGATGGAAAGAGAGAGTAAAAGGAGTCAAAGAGAATACAGGATCAGATTGAATCGTGGAGCAGACTCGATGGGTTGAATGGCCTACTCCTCCTAGTTTCTATGTTTAAAGGTGTAAAACATAATATTTCTACCTGAAGGAATGAGATTCCCAGTTTAAATTGTCCACTTATGGATCAGAGGGCTTGACTAAATCAAATAATTACAACTCTGAAGGAGGCCATTTGGTCTGTCAGATCCCGTGCTGGATCTCTGCAAGCACTAGTTTCACAGCCAGAACTTAATCTGATGCTTTTGAAGGACCCTCTTGTGGTGTAGTGGTAGTGTCCCTAACCCTTGACTGGGAGGACCAGGTTCAAGTGCCACCTCCTCCAGATTTGTGTAATAACATATTTGAGCAGGAAAAATAGATTAAAAAGAAAAATTCCCTGGTACTTTTCCAATTCCCTTCTGAAAACTGTTACTGAATCCCTTTCAGGCGGTGTCTTCTGGATTGTGACCTCTTGCTATTTAAAGTCATTAACAGATCATTGCATGATGAAAGCATACCTTCGATGTTAGATATAAGATATAACTTTCTGTCCTGAGTTTAATGGGCAATTAATGTGCAGAACTAGTTAATTTTTAAAATAACAGGGAGGTTGAGAGAAAGATGCTGTATGTGCGAAGAAAACGTTAATCAATTTATACCACTCCAATTTCTGGAGATTCACAGCGTATCTCCTCATTGCCCTGAACTCAGTGGCTGAGTAGCACATTAAGGTTAGACTTTAAAGTTAAGCACAACCTTTCACAGCACTAACGTTAACAGTGTTTTATGGTTCATAAGGAACATTTTTTTACTTAATGCAAGACTAATGCATTTTCCCCCAGACCACATCGATGTTACTAGAGGAAATGGTGCTCCTCAGGAAATGGACAAATTAGGTGATATGCCTGAAAATAAATGTGGGAAATTATACCCTTTAGAAGTTGGGATGCTAATTCTGATAAACTTTCTGCAATATTGTCTCCTGCTGTGTATGTTATTTTGGAATCAAAACAAGGGAGAGAAAGTTTTACTATGAAACAATCGTAAACCTATTCTTAAGAATTCTCAAAAGTATTTTTCACTCACTAGAGAGTAATGCTTAAATGGTCAAATGATGCAAATTGGACTCTATTCATTTCTTGCCAGCTGGGAAATTGGAGAACCAGATTAAAACGTTGGAGATGAAACATGGCGTTAACTTGCTTTTAGGGTTTGCCAGTTGAGAAGGTTATAGTCCCAAAGGAACACCAATTGTAGTCTTTTCCAGCAGGGATTAAAGCTGTATCTCTTACCACATTCCTCAATCCCTCCTGGTCTTCCATGACTGGTCAATGTTGCTGCATTTCTGAAAATCCAAACTTTTGTTGGAAACCAGCAACAGTCCTATGTTACTTGGCTCCTGAGCTGTCCCAACATTCTCACAACAACAAATGTCTTGTAGAATGGTGCACACTCCTTCCAAACTCCACCCAATATATTTCTTCATACGGGGTTGGAACTGAGAGTGCTTGAGCATACTCCTTGGGAAATGTCAAATTTTATATTGAAAATGCTTCATACTGTTTAATTGTTCGTGTTGTAAAAGATGTTCTTAGTTGGTACTAATCCTTTGCTTGGACGTGGTGTCTCCAGTTGTTCTTATAATACTTGCCTAAGGGGCATATTTGTATTCAGTGGTCATGGATGAATCACTAATAAAGTATTGGCAGAAGTGACTTGAGTAATAAGAAGTAGACCGTTACATTCTAACTAAAATACAGGTTATGTTAGCTTAAGACTGGTTAATTATATTACACTGGATAAGGAACACTTGTATCTCTTAAGACACCCCCAGCCAAGCTAAGTTCTAGGACAGTTATCATTTGAGGAAAGGCTAACAAACTGGAACAACTACAACAGACAGCTATAACTGACTAGTACCTCCCAGAGAGTTATTTATATCCTGGTGGGAGGAGCTGTACAAAGCTTCAGAGTTAACCCTTTCAGGCCAGCTGCTTTACACAACTGTAGAACCTTTTGTGAGTTCACCAGTGAGATGATTTTAGCTTAAAGCTATCAGAACAATCAGTACTGTTTGGGATGGGAATTGGCTTCACCTTATTTTCAGGCTCGACATGCTCCGAATGCTGACTAGTTCATCATAATTCGGCTTCAAGTCTCATCCTGGTTTAGGTTAGCAGTGAACACCAAACAGGTGCATGGGAGTAACACATTGGTTCAATATGGTCCACTATATGGTCCTTGCCTGGACGAGGTAAACAGTAAAACTTGCGAATGATATGGACGACCGAAATGGTTGAGTTGTACCGAAGGGTCTGTAACCCTGCTGTACATCTATAAGCTCACTGCACCATCACGACAGTCAATGTGACACGTCTATGTGTGGTTCCCACATTCGTTCCAATATTCATCTGAAGGATCCTCCCAAACCTCTGGTTCAGTGCTCAGACAGCACCCTCTCTCAAACCCTTGCCAAACAGCAAAACCTATGGAGACCAGTTTTACTCCATCCTTACCTTGCTGTGAGTTGAACTGTTTGGAGTATTTGGAGTAGTCTTAATAAACAAGAGTAGGTTGAAACATGAACTAAGGAGAATATGAATGAGCAAAAATTATCTGGTTTTTTTTGCAGCAATGTTTGATGTTTTGGCTGTAAATGAGATTATTGTCTTTCAGGAAGACCACCATAACTACTACATATCCAGAAGCTATGGGCCAAATGACTCCAGAACAAAGGAACTCTGGGTCGACTTTGCGAAGGTGGACAAGAGCAAAGTGAGGGTCCATGGAATTCTCTCAAACACACACCGACAAGCTTCAGTAAGTTCCTTAGTTTCTTTTCCTGTTTCGAGAATGATTCTATGTAGTGTGATGAATTTTTCACTCGTAGCCATACAGCCCATCCCAACTTGTTATATTTGTATGTTACTCTAGTGTGGTCCATCACATGGATGAGAAGATATTGGTCAGTGTTTCACAAACATTTCCCCACCCTGACTTGTGTAATAAGTTTTGAAAATTGTCATATAAAAGCAAAAATACACAAATAGTCAGTGGGTTCTGGCAGTATCTGTACAGGGAGGAATAGATTAACATTTCGAGTCAACTTTTGAAGAACTGTGAGAGTTGTGAGAGTGTGGTAAACAGGGGCTGGGTGTGTTGGGGAAGGTTTTGTGAGAGCAGGACCATGTTAGAGACGGGTCTCAGCTGTTATAACTCAGTTAGAGCTCTATGGAAGCAATTGCTGCCTCAGGGTTTGTAGCCCCACATGGAGGTCCCGATGTGTACTTTGGGAAACCCCAACATAAACAGTCTAATGGCTTGTGACTAAAGCCAATAGCATGGATTGATATGAATGTGTTCTGTGTTGTAGAATTGTTCAATGTTGTAAAATTGTCCATTTAAATGCTCAGAAATCATTCTGCAGAATTTTTCCTTTTCAATTGAGATGTTTATATGAAGGTACCATTTCCATAATTATGGATACCACCAATAATGAGAGAGAGCTAATGAGATGCATAAGGAAGCAATGTTTGAGTGAGTCCAAGTGGAATTTCACATAGTGCTAGATAGAATCCAGCCAATCCTTAGTAGAGCAATACAATATCCTCTCATTTTGTGCTGTCTTCCTCTGTTTTACAAATCAAGCAACTTATTTATCTTTTTATTGTCCTTTGACATATCTTCAATGGTATGCACCAATAAGGTTGCAAACTCTAGATGGCCATGATTTGGAGGATAGATCATATGACCTCCAATCCACAACCATCCAATAACCACAGCCATGTCATTGACCGCCAACATATCTGTCCTCACGTCACCCACTTTCTTCAAATGAACTGATCCTTCCTTATCCAGATACTGGCCTTTGTGTGTAGAGGAGTAGAATGCAAAAGGATCGATCAAGGTTACATTGCAGCAATGCAGTACAACAGGCCACACACCTCTGACCATACCTGCAGCACTATGAGCAGTTTGGGGCATTGTCCCTTGTGGGTGGAGAACTTGAAGGTATGCAGCATATATTAACCAGAATGATACAAGAACTCTACTTACCGGGAGAATTTACAAAACCCAGGGCTGTATTCTTGGGAATTTAGAAAATTTAAGAGGTGAATCCATCAGAGTTTTCAGGATGTAAAAGGACCACCGAGGTTAGATAGAGAGAAATTAATTTGCTGGCTTGTGAATTTAGGTTAATGGGGTAAAGTCTAGCATCAGACCTCTTGGGAGAGAAATTGGGAAATGCGTCTACACACAAATGGTGGTAGAAAATTGAAACTGTCTTCCACAAACAGCACTAGATCATTTTAAAGCTGATTTTGTTAGCCAAAGATGTTAATGAAAATGGAGCAAGGAGGCAATATAGAGTTAGTTTGTGAGAACTATGACCTCATTGTTTGGCAAACTGGCTGAAGAGGTTAAATGGCCCCCCCTATCCATATTCTTGTATTCCTGATTGTCTGTCAGGCAATTGTTTTCCTACATCCAGTATCACTAGAGCTGCAAAACGAAATAAAATCTGTTTGAGAATGCATTTATTCATTCCCCTCAGGAAATTGCTTTCCCCTATGTTCCTGGAATTAAGTCTTTGATTCTAGAAGGCTCCAGGGTGATGCTGGAGAGTTGGTACCAGGCGAGTAATGGGCAAGGGATTGATGGTGACAGATGTGGAGGGTGTGCTTGGTTAAAGCACACTTTGTGCGCTGAATTTTCCTCCAACAGGCCTCAGCTAATTTGGAGTTAACCACGTTTCACTCCATTTAAACCATGCAGTTTAAGTATAGGAGTTTAAGTATAGTGGTCATGTTGTGGCTGTACAGAACATTGGTGAGGCCGCTTTTGGGATATTGTGTCAATTCTGGTCTCCCTGCTATAGGAAAGATGTTGTAAATTTCAAAGGGTTTAGAAAAAATTTACAAAGATGTTGCCAGGATTGGAAGGTTTGAGTTATAGGGAGAGGCTGAATAGACTGGGGCTATTTTCCCTGGAGTGTCAGAGACAGAGGGGTGACCTTATAGACGCTTATATAATCATAAGGGGCATGGATAGGGTGAATAACCAAGGTCTTTTTCCCAGGGTAGGGGAGCCAAAACTAGAGGGCATAGGTTTAAGGTGAGAGGGGAAAGATTTAAAAGACCTAAGGGGCAACTTTTTCATGCAGAGGGTGGTGCATGTATGGAATAAACTGCTAGAGGAAGTGGTGGAGGTGGGTACAATTACAACATTTAAAAGGCATCTGGATGGGTATATGAATAAGAAGCGTTTAGAGGGATATGGGCCAAATGCTGGCAAATGGGACTAGATTAATTGAGGATATCTGGACGGAATGGATGTGTTGGGCCGAAGGGTCTATTTCTGTACTGTACATCTCTATGACTCTAAGGCAAAGAGTATTTTTTAAAGTTGGCCATCTTATTTCAATAATACAATGCACAGACTGTTGTGTTTATGCAGCTTGCGATGAACTCACTTGTCATTTCAATTCTTTCCGCAGAGAGTGATTTTGTCCTTCGATTTCCCTTTCTATGGCCATTATTTGCGCCAGATCACCATAGCAACAGGAGGTAAGTGGCTCATGCTACTGACAGAGAGTACATTGTCACAATGTAGTTTCTTATAAGGAATCAGAATTTCTGTCAGGTACAGGACTGGGATTGAGTTTGATCTCTCCAAATAACAGTGGAGTCACTGACCGCTGATGTGTTGTGGAAAAGAATTCTGCTTCAGAATAAGTACAGTCAGGATCATGATTGACTCCCATCCCGAAATACAAACAAAGTTGTTTGGAGCCTAGTGTTGGAAGGCGAAGCTTGTTTTGGGTTTGGCTTTTTCAATTTTACTGGTGAGCTAAGCGCACCAAATGGGCATTATCATGTGGGATTAGAAAAGTTAGGTGCTTGTTTTTGACCAGTGCAGGTTCAATGGGCAGAAAAGTCTTCTTATTCTGGGCTGCAGACCTCTATGACCCCTCTGACAGCCTCCCTGTGTGCCCCATCCCCTCTGCCCATATTCATAGCTGTGAGAGGCTGTGAAAAATGTAAAGGGGATCAGTCACATCAGTGCAATCAGGAATGAATCAGCTCAGCTACTTGTGCATGAGTTTTCCAATAATTACTGTGCACTATTTCAAGATCCACTTCAATTGAATGAATGATTTTATTGTCACATATATCAAGAAAGACATGGTGGACAAAGGAAATGAACTGCAGATGCTGTAATTCAGAAACAAAAACAGAAATTGCTGGAAAAACTCAGCAGGTCTGGCAGCATCTGTGGAGAGAAATCAGAGTTAACGTTTTGGGTCCTCAGAACACAAGATACAGTGCAAGGCGTTTTATCACCACAATCTGGTGCTATTTTGAGTTACAAAAGGAATAAAAAGAAATTACTTAAATAAGACTTCAGCTTCTGTTCAAACTGGGATGTCAGGCACGGCTCCAGGGCTTCTGCAACGTGTTTTGGTCCTCAAGGAGTTCCGCTCCAGGCACAGCAATGGCGATGCCAATGCCCCAGGAGGCCCTGGCTCCACTGCTGCCACTGCCACTTCACCAAAACCGGTAGGAGAGCCTGCTCTAGGCCTACCGATGGCAGGAGTCCCCACTTCCGGTCTGTCGCTGCCAGGAGTCCCCACTTCGGGCCTACCACTGCCAGGAGTCCCCACTTCTGGCCTACTGCTGCCAGGAGTCCCTGCTCCAGGCACTGCTATGACCACAGGTCCAGGCTCCGGGCCTACTGAAGCCAAGGGTTCCTGCTCTGGGCACTGCCACGACCGCGGGCCCAGGCTCCAGGCCTACTGAAGCCAGAGGTCCTTGCTCCGGGCACTGTCGCTGCCACCAGGAATCCCTATCCATGCTGCGAAAGCTGCAGACACCACTCTGTCCCCGATGATGAAGAAAGAAAAGAAAAAGAAAAATGACACAAAGGAAAGAATACCTCCAGTCTGAATTGATGGGCTCCTGAGCCCAAACACTCCCAACCATGCCAGTGCCACCATCTTGAAAAAAATGCCTGCTATTCACCTCCTTCTGACCATACAAGCTCGCATTGGCTCAGGAAGGTTTCTCAAATCATCTTTCATTTCCTTAGGCACTAGTCAGCATTTTATTGATATTTCCTCTTGTCAACTTTTTTTGTATTCTTTCACAAGATGTGGGTCTCACAGGCTAGACCTGCAATTTTTCCTTTCTTTATTCATTTATGTGAGGAGGGCATCATTGGCTAGGCCAGCATTTATTGCCCATCCCTAATTACCCAGAGGGGGGTTAAGAGTCAACCACATTGCTATGGGTCTGGAGTCACATGTAGGCCAGACTGGGTAAGGATGGCAGTTTCCTTCCCTAAAGGGCATTAGTGACCCAGGTGGGTTTTTCCCGACAATCAGCAATGGATTCATGGTCATCATTAGACTCTTAATTCTAGATATTTATTGAATTCAAATTCCACCATCTGCCATGGCAGGATTTGAACCTGGGTCACCAGAACATTATTTGGGTCTCTGGATTAACAGTCCAGCGATAATACCACTAGGCCATCACCTCCCCTTGATTGCACTTCCCTAATTGCATCTCTAATTGCACTTGAGAGGAGGATGGTGGTAAGCTGCCTTCTTGTACCACTACAGTCCGTTTGGTGGAGAGACACCCAATCTGTTGTTAGCAAGGATTTTGACTCAGTGACAGTGAAAGAACAGCAATATGTATTTCCAAATTAGGATAGTATGCTGCTTGGAGATGAACTTGCAGGTGTTGGTGATCACATGCATCTGTAGCCCTCATCCCTCTTGAAGGTAGGCGTTGTGAATTTGGAAGGTGCTGTTTAAGGATGTTTGCATCTTGTAAATGGCACATGCTGTGCATCAGTGGCAGAGGGAGTGAGTATTTAAGTTGGTAGAGGGGGTGTCCATCAAGTGGCTTTTTGTCCTGGATGGTGTCAAGTGTTTTGAGTGTTGTTGGAACTGCACCCATTCGGGTAAGTAGAGAGTATTCCATCACACTAATATGGTGCAGCATTAATAATGAACTGAAAATGCATTTATAACGAAAAGTAGGCTTTAAATTGAAGTTTCCAATTCACTACCTGTGAGCAACCATATTGTAAATGTCTGAAAATAACTCTTTAAACAAGTTGTACTTGTGCCATCTGGGGGTCAGGAATTAATTTGCCACAAGTCAATTAGTGTACACTAATTAAAGTAGCAAATGGTTGAGTACAACTTGTTTAAAGAGTTATTTTCAGACATTTACAATATGGTTGCTCAGAGGTAGTGAATTGGAAACTTCAATTTAAAGCCTACTTTTCGTTATAAATGCATTTTCAGTTCATTATTAATGCTGCACCATATTAGTGCACTTGGGTACATTGAAGAATTCGTCTTAACGGAATGGAAAATTGCATTTTATTGCACTGCTCCATGGAAGATTTTACGTTTCTGGTTGTGCTTATCGTTGTTGGAGGAAACTTGGTCTGTAACCTGTAAGTGCAATTCTGAACACAGTTTGGCTACAATTGCAAAATTGGGAAGCAGCAACCATCCCACAGTATTGAAAGTAAACTATTTATCTGGGATAAAATGTTATGGAATAACAGCCATTAAAAAAAAGGCCATCTGAATGTTTAATTTAGAAACAAAGTGGAAAAGAGAATTCAGAGATCACAACGTGTGGTCTCATTTTTTAAGCTACTGTCATCCCGTGCAAACTGAAAGTTATTAAAACCAACTGATGAAGGAAGACAAAATTTTATGGAACATGTTAGAGTCGAAGTTGGTTAGTTTCAACATGCACGCCTGCTGATGGGTCATGCCAGGATTACAGACAGTCTCTGGGTCAGGAGTGGGTTCTGTTCTTGAGACCCTTTGCGAGTTGATTTGTATGGAAATTGGGACACAATGCAGGACAATATAAATTAGAAGCACAGGATATGATTAAAATTGCATCCCTGTATGGGATTGTGTTCGTATATATGGGCATTCATAATTGGATGTTCATAATCGGGGACCCGCTGTAGATCTGAAAATACGCTGTGTTGGTTGGTTGGGGGTGTAGGAGGAAGGTGGGACAGAGTTACTAATGAATAGGTGCAGTAGTAGATCCGATTTTATCTCACTTAAAACCTTTTAACATAGACAGAGTTAAGCTTAGACCTCCGTCTCTAGTTTGCACAAAAAGAAACATCTTGCGAAGAACCTGTGTAATGGGTGAAACCTTTCATGGGTTCTTCAGCATGTTTCTCCTCAGAGTATTTCCATGGATTGATAATGTCCAGGAGCCCAGAGTGTGGGTATAAATTGACTTAAGAGCTGCACACCAAGCACTTTTAAAAGCATTATTAACACAAGTGTGGTTCCATCATTTATCACTGTTGAATGCAATAGTCAATATTTATATTCATTTGTAAAATCCTATATTGTACTTACTCATGCATCCTATTTTGACAGCAAAATTTACTTATTGTTCTGCTTCGAATTTGTCTTAATTTATTGACCTATTCAACATCTGTTATCTTTGAAGATCTAAATGTAGTTCACATTCATCTCCTGTTCAAGATGACGTCAGGAAAAGAGGAGAAAAGAAGCTAATCTTAGATGTACAAGATAGTTGGTAGCAATACTGTGTTTTAAAGGATGCTGCTAAAATAGAATAGAAATAGAATGGAATGAAATGAATAGTGAAGGAACTAAGAAGCTCTTTCATTTTTTTGATATCCAAAGCAAGAATGAACTGAAAAGTTAGGAGCTGAGTCCTGAGGGAGAAACGGAAACAGTGCAAAAACCAATTTATTTGGCTGTCAGGTGAAAGTTCAGGATCAGTATGGTCACAGTGAAAGCAATAAAGACATGAAGGTTCAATAAATGATTGGAGGACAAAGTAACAAATTGCAAGGCAGTGGGCTGATTCTGTCCCTAACAAGGAGTGAGGGTCATAGAGTAGTACAGCACAGAAAATGACCCTTCAGTCCAACTTGCTCATGCTGACCAAGTTTCTCAAACTAAACTAGTCCCACTTGCCTGCATTTTATAGAATCCCTACGGTATGGAAGCAGGCCATTCAGCCCATCAAATCCACAGCAACTCTCCAAACAGCATCCCACCCAGGTCCACCTCTTACCCTATACTTTTCGCCCTAGACACTACAGGCAATTTAGCATGGCCAATCCACCTAGCCTGCACATCTTTGGACTGTGGGACAAAACCCACACAGACGCAGGTAGAACATGCAAACTCCACACAGACAGTCACCCGAGGCTAGAATTGAACCTGGGTCTCTGGCGCTGTGAGGCAGCAGTGCTAACCACTGAGCCACCATACCACCCCAGGCCCATATCCTTCTAAACCTTTCCTTTTCATGTATCTATCCAAATGTCTTTTATTGTTGTAACTGTACCAGCATCTTCCACTCCTCTGGCAGTTCATTCCCTGAACCACCCCCTTTGTGAAAAAGTAAATGAAAACCAAAAAACTACTGGAGATTTCAAATAAAATCAGAAAGTGCTGGAGAAACTCAGCAAGATTGACAACATCTGTGAAGAGACAAACAGTTAACATTGAGTCCAGTACGACTCTGCT